ATAGTTTAAGTAAAAACAACATTTTTTAAATAAACGAAATAAACAACAAAAATATTAGATAATATTAATGAATAAAATTAATTATTAATTATTATTTTATGAAATAGAAAAGCTATATAAAAACATATATAAATATAAAATATATTTTATTATTAATTTATTATTAGTAGTAAATAATAATTATTTATTTTTTATACTAATTTAGAATCGTGTTGTTTTGTTACAGGACAGCAGAAACCCGAATGGTCGGCGCTATAGCAGGTGTGGATTGCCGCTTGAGTGAATTTTAACACACGGCCCATAAACTGGCCGATCCGCCTCAGTGTGACACAGAGAACGAGGGTCACCGCCGCAACCCAAACAAAGCGCATCTATCCCTGCAGCTCCTCAATAGCCACTGAAGCGGGTCTGTGTTTACCCCAGCGATCGCTGTGCATTTTGCGCATGGTTGCTGTGCCCAAATCCCAAAAGTACAGGGTTTGTCCTTCTTCGGCCACTTCAGTTTAGGACTACCTGCCGCTATGCTTTTAAGATGCAGGTGTGTGTGTACGTGAGCGTTGGGGTGGTCAGTGGGGTACGGGGTCAGGGATTAGGATCACAGGACTGAGACACACAGGCCGAGTTGCGCTTTAACGCGGTTAGAGAAGGGCTGAGTAAACAGACATTGTTCTGCGCTTGCGGCTCCCATACTGAGAGCAGTGGAAGCAGTGCGGTATTGTGACGGCTCTCAGAGGCAGAAACCGTCCCTTATGGGGAGAAAACTCCTCTCAGAGGGGGTCTGATCCTGCCGTTGAAGTGTACGGGCTTCCACTTTGGTATCTACTAGAAAAGCAGAAAATTCAATTGGGCAGACATAAGTAAAAAAATATGTCTGAATAGCAAAAAAACAAAGGGACGTCATTCAGTGAACTGAACATACATAAATATACACACACATATATATATATATATATATAAATAAATGTATGCAGGGCAGGAATGAAAAAAAATGAGGCACGGGCTTGAGAGGATCCAAAATAAATGAAACTAAATTTTTCAGCAGAGGATGCAGATTGCATTTATGAATTTGTGAGTTGTTCTTGCGAGACATCAAACGCCAGTGGTCTGTGCAACCCTTTCTTGATTTGAATTATTAACTGTGTCGACGTCGCGCACAAGCCACCCTGCCATTATAGTGTAAATTGACAAACTTTTCAAAACTAAGGCAGAAGCCAAAGAAAGCCAGTAGCTTCTTGAAGAACGAGCTTTGATACGTCTCTGAGGAATACACTCTGCTTCAACAACACGGTGACTGTCAGGCTAAAAAAAAAAAAAAAGAAAAAAAAGCCTGCTGATTCAATCTATTTCAGATCTAAATTAGTTAATTTTCTTGTATTTAAAGATAAAAACTAACCTTCAGACAGGTGCGAATCAGGTGATGTCTAAGGTGCTTTATTTAGAAACCGGTTTATTAAAATATCTCGGTCTTTATTTAGCTTGAAAAATTGCAGGACGGTGGAGGCAGGGAGTTGCTGTTTATTCTAGTCGACACGCCATCATTTGGTGCCCATATTAAAACTCTTTCTCTCTATCTCTCTCTCTCTCTCTCACACACACACACAGGGAGGTGAATGGAAATAAGGTGGTGTGTTTTGTGTGAGCCTAACAGTACTGCGGCTGCTGCTCTACACCTCTCTCCCTCTTGCTTCTCTTTGATGTGCAACTGAAAATGTCACCAGTCGTCAAGGCATTTTTTTCCACTCTCTCTCTCTTTACCGCGCATACGAGCGAGACAATTTGCTGTCGCTCACCCCCCTACCCAGAATGCCTACCGGTTTCCACCGCTATCTGGTAGCCAGCTTCCAGCCTCCGAGATGACCTTTCCAGCCTCTCTGTGTTGTCCAACAGATGTGCTCTCTGAAAACAAACCACAGATGGAAAGAAAACAATGAGAGTGATTGAGAAGACTGGGACATTATTTACAGAGACATTTTCAACACAATAATAGACACACTAAGACAAAAGGGTACAGACCACTTAATTTAACTTATATATTGATTTGAGAACGTCTAATTATGAGTTGCGTTTTGATAAATTGGACTGATCTTCATGAAAATCCCAAGCAAAAAAGGACGGAGCTCCAATCTAACACCTTTCCTTCTTTTTAATTGAGGCTTCCTTCTTGCAGTGGCTTTGTTCTGAAGGTGTTGCCAGATCTCATTACCTCACATTTAAAACCAGGGCAAAGATTAGCATGGGAGGGATGGCTAATTGAGCTGTAATATATTTTCAAATGCTGCTTCAGATTACCCAATATCTGTTAGTCTGAGTTCAGGATGCCACTATAAACCTTGTTACACTATGTTTTTTAATTTGATGTGTACACTTTTACAAATAAAGGTTCTTTATTGGCATCTGTGGTTTCATGAAAAACCTTAAATATCCATGGAAGCTTTACATAGCAAAAAAAGGTTCTTTATTGTAGAGAAAAGTTCTTAACACTAAGAAAAATGGTCTTTTAAGAACTGTTCCATTGAAGGTTATTTCGGGAACCCAAAATGGTTATTTAATTACATCGATGTTTTGGACCCTGTATTTTTAAAAGTGTATGCCGACACTCTAGTCTAAAACACTTGCTGGTTTCTCTACTGTGCATTCCGGATGTTTTAGGGGTCACTGTAAATAATGCAAACCAACAAGGCGTGTAAACTTTTTCAAGGAAAGGTTGGTACGTCTTGTGTTGAGTTACAGATGTATAAAGTCAGAAGTCATAAATGTAAGATTAAAATAAACATCATGGTCAAGGGCCAGATGCATTAATATTGCACATTGTGGGCAGCATTTATATGTTCTTCAAATGATGACAACTCATTTTTTAGAAAAATAATAACCTTGGCCATACTGAAAACACTGAAGTGGTCTCAGACTCATGTTTCGAGAACATAAAATAACAACAACATAAAAATATAGTAAATTAACAACAGTGTGTGAAATATTACAATTAAAAATTATATATATATTTTAAAATAAACCAATTAAATAAAAATTAAATATATTAAAATATTAATTAATTTCATAAAGTAAAATATTCCTGTTATGGCATATGTGATGATTTGGTGCATAAGAATCTTAAAATTATCTTAATATTAATACAATTGAAAAAAAACTGCTGCTTAATATTTTTATGGAATGAATAGGAAGTTGAAAAAAAAAATCTTACTGACCCCAAACCTTTGAGTGGTAGTGTCTACATACTAGAAATAACAGAATTTATGCAAAATATCGAAATAACTCATACATACGTAAATATATACGTGCTAGAAATAAAATACAGTGGAGTCCAAAAATTCATTTGTAAAAAAATTATCTAGGATTTTTCTTAATTTAAGTTTTTCATTGCTAATTATAGTATATAAGCATAGATTTAAGTAAAAATGTTATTCAGATGTCTTTTGTTCCCATCTTCTCCCTTTAAAATATGATGATCATGTGATTCACAGCATGATTCAAGAATGATCCAAATCTTGGGCATCAGAACATCAACATTTAGCACAAAGAATTTCACATGATCAATGTCACAAATTTACACTTATTTCAGATTCTGAACAATTTTAAGTCAGCAATGCATATTTTTTATTCTTTTCACATCATAGCGTCTCTGTCTTAAACTTTTGAACCTCACTGCAGATACTAAAAAACTAAGATTCATGCACTATTTTCTGGTAAGTCATATCATTTATGAGTGTGAAAACTGAATGAGACCACTGCATTTCTATTTGTAAATACAGAACAGAGAGAGCTAACTACATTTCTAAAGGACGTTAACCTTTATTCCTATTTACATGCACAGAAAAGAATAAAGGCAGAGGGAAAAAGTGAGAGAAACAAGTTTCCTGTTCTAGTTAAGCTGTCAAAATATGTAGCGGCTAATCACTCCAAGGAAATGAAATGAAAAATAGACGACATTCCACTTTTCAAAGTTTGACAATCACAGAGAAGGGAAAGAGGGCGAAAAAAAAAACTGTCTGAACTATTTTTTCTTCTCCTCCTCTCGGTTGACAGATGTCATTTAAAATAGCTGAAATACTTTTTAATAGTTTAAGGGAGGGGGTGTTCATGGGAGATAGAGGGAGGGAGAAAGAGAAAGAGAGAGAGGGATAGAGAAAGAGGAGAGAACAGGGGTGGGAGTGCGTATGGGGAAAAGGGAGCCATCTCTGCCTAATGAGCCCCTCTGGATCAGCTGAGATGGAGGGGACGTATTGACATGCACCGCTTAAACTAATACACCTAGACCAGGGATGTGCCTGTGTGCCTGGAAGCACAAGGCAGCCGGGGATACTGACAGAGTAGCTCGCTCCCCCGTCTTCAAAGAGCTCAAGTGATTAGTATGTTATCATTACCATTCGAAACGTGATTTTCCTATTCCCTCTCGGCAAAGGTGACACGTCTCGGGGAGACGGCCAGCAGACTCGCGCGCCGGAAAGCCACTTCAAAGCTTTTTCTTGAATTTCTCTCCCTCGCTCGTTCTCACTCCCTCAGTCGGTCTATTTTTCTGAGGGAGGGGGGCTGTTGATCTCTATTGTGCGTGTGTGTGGGGTACGGGGGTATGGGGGTGACACACACCGAAGGTGGCCGCGTAGGTGCAGTGACGACAAAAGCGCGGAGAAATGGCGACTTCCTGAAAACGTGAAAGAATGGCCTATCAAAACGAATTACCTCGCTCCAGCGGATTTATTTTTTCGAAAAATGTCCCACGTGTGGATCCAAACGCATCCGTAAGGAGGCGATTATGAGTAACAAAGCACGTTAGACATAACATATCAGTTCAGATATTTAAAACAAAAAGCCCTAGATGCATATCACTCACTTTCATAGACCAAAATGACCTGAATAAAAGAAATTTCTTGATTTATTCACTATTGGAGCAGCAGGACTGTCAAAATGGTCTCTCTTTTTTCGGTCTTATGGAGTTCAACAGAAGCTTCTTTTAAAGAGGGCATGATAAATATTGGTGCGCTTGCGACCGCCTCTGCGCGCGCCCCTTCTCATTTGTGCCAATGCATGTGTGCCTTTTTATCTGACACCTACTTTTTCTACAAAGACGCTCTTAGATACTATAAACGAGAATTTTTTTGGTTTTTTTCTTTCTTTGCATTTTTTTCTGTTGTGAAGAACCGCACTTCAGTTGTAAGTTATTAACGTGGAACCCAGGAACAATGCGAATGTGACTCAAAAGAATCGTCTTCCCTTCTCTCTCCCCTTTTTTCAATATCAAACACGAGCGCTTACAATCGCAATTTTCTAAAGTTTTGATGATTCCTTATTATTTCAAATGGGGTGGGGGGGGGGGGGGGG